TTTGCAAACTATAATTTTTTGCAAAAATTGAGCCTAAATTAAGATATTCTATCTAGATACTTGAAAATTTTATCACATAAAAAAGGCCACTCAAACTTTAAAATGTGTCCAGAAAAATTGAAATCTGTTAATACGCCGAGCCGTGGTAATTGTTTAAACATACGCGTAATTTTTGCGCTTATAATCAAATAGAATAATTTTATAAATTCATTATACAGTACGCGCCTAAAGTATGGAATAAATTCAGTAAAACGAAACAAATTTTTTTTTTGGGAAAAATCCTCGAACAGGTCGATTTTTAATTTAAAAAATACATATTTTAGCATCAAAGGCGATTTTCAACCGTCATTTGTTTTCGAGTAATGATGTCATCGATATTTTTTTAAATAGCAACCTCCTATTTTTTTCTTGATTCTGAAAGATCGTTTCATTGTCGATCAGACAATAATAAAATGTTGCCATCTTACATAGGAAAGTTTTCGAGTAAATGACGATTGAATGTTAGAAAACCCAAATCAATTAAATTAAAGCAAACACGTTATCAAATTTAGTTTTTTGAAATGCCCTGAAGATTTTTATGGATCACGTAGGTGTAAATCTTTACAAAGTGTCACTGTCGTACCGACTTTCTAAGTATTGTAAGCGATATAAAAATTATTGTTGAATTTAAAGTATTATGGCACATTTAACTGTCACACAAAGAATTGAAATTTTAATTCTTATCGGTTGCGGGGAGAAGACTAGAACGCAGCAGGAAGTTTGCGATTTATTTAATGAAAAACTTCCAGATTGCCGTATCAGCCAATCAACAATCAGTAAGATAGAATCTAAATTTAGAGAAACTGGCAATGTTGTAGATATTCCAAGCCCTGGACGTCCAAGCGTCAGTGAAGATCACAAACAGAACATTTTGATAAGTATGGTAGATAATCCTCATAATACTTCACGATTGGTTGCTTTAAACAATGAAATTAGTCAGACCACAGTGCTACATATCCTGAGGAAGGAAAAAAATATCCCTACAAAATTCAACTTGTGCAGGAATTCAATGAAAACGATCCCGACCGCTGCTTACACTTTTGTGAAATTATGATGAATTTATGTCAAGTAAATAGAGATTTACCCCGGCAAATACTTTTTTCAGACGAGGCCACGTTTTGTCTCAATGGTACAGTGAACCGTCAAACTTGCAGGTATTGGAGTCGGGAAAATCCTCATTGAATGGCAGACCCAACACCCACAGAAATTAAATGTGTGGGCTGGAATAGTTGACAACAGAATAGTAGGGCCTTTCTTCTTTGAAGGAACCCTTACAGGAGAAAGATAATTAGAGTTTTTACAAAATGACCTTGTTCCAGCGCTTGCAGTAATTTTTCCTAACGATAATGACTCTGATATTCCTAATGACACCATATAGTAGCAAGACGGTGCACCTCCGCACTATGCGCGCCCTGTTCGAGATTTTCTGGACAATTGCTTTCCTAGAAGGTGGATCGATAGAATGGCCAACGAGATACCCAGATCTTACACCCCTGGATTATTTCTTATGGGGCTACTTAAAGTCCAAAGTGTACGTTAATAATTGCTTTCCTAGAAGGTGGATCGATAGTATGGCCAACGAGATACCCAGATCTTACACTCCTGGACTATTTCTTATAGGGCTACTTAAAGTCCAAAGTGTACGTTAATAGACCACATAATTTAGAAGAACTCCAAAATTGTATTATAGATGAAATACACAGAGTTACCCCAGAAATAATTCATAATGTGCAAGAAGAATTTCTACACAGACTTGCGTATTGTCAAGAAGTCGGTTCGAACACTTAATTTAGGTAGAAAACTTAATGAATTGTATTTGCTTGACATAGGAATTGTTATTTTTTTAATAAATAAAATTTACGTTTTCTAACATTCAATCGTCATTTACTCGAAAACTTTCCTATGTAAGATGGCAACATTTTAATACTGTCGGATCAATAATGAAACGATCTTTCAGAATTAAAAAAAATAATAAGGGGTTGCTATTTAAAAAAAATGCCGATGACGTCATTACTCGAAAACAAATGACGGTTGAAAATCGCCTTTTATGCTAAAATATGTATTTTTTAAATTAAAAATCGCCCTCTTCGAGGATTTTTCCCAAAAAAAAATTGTTTCGTTTTTACTGAATTTATTCCATACTTTAGGCGCGTACTGTATATTCAATTTGTTAATTGGTTCCAGTGTTATAGTCGATCAAAGTTAACCGGCATTTGTGGCGTAACTACGAGGTCTCGAGGGTTGTTTTTTTAAATAAATACCTTGCCATTCCGAGTACTTTCCGGGAGTGAATTTGCAAAACTTGCGCCCTTGTGCAACCCATATGAAATGTTTCTTAAAACTATTGGACCGAGCATGAAATTCACGAAAAATGTATGGGAGGTAGTGAGGGGGGGGTGGGGGTCCAGAGCTCGGCTGCTCCGGCCGACTCGAAATTGAAATCGCGCGTTCAAAATAGCGGCGCGTTTAAAAATTTTGATTATCTCGGCTTCTAGTGGTCCGATTTTGATGTTTTCTTTTAAATCGATATATCGCGAGCTGAAAAGTCCAAATATCACATTTTCAAATGCGAATTATTGTTAACAATTATCGACCTATTAACGTATTAATAATTACTACTACATGTCGACAAATAACACCACATCAGTTGAGGAGACTTATTAGAAATAAGAGGAGACGAATTAAACAGTGCAAACCAAATGATGGTGGACTAATAGAAAACGGTAATATTTAAATATTATTTTGTTGTGAAACTCATTTCTGGTATAATAAAAGAAATATATAATTTGGTTGTCTTCTTGTGAGCACCCTGTATGAGTGAAATCAATGAAACTGCAAGGAATTCGGTTAATTAAATTAAGGAAAAATAACTTGAAAATATTTTCCAGTGTGAATACAGGAAACACTGCAATGAGTGAAATTTTTCTAAGTTTGCACCTATTTTGTAAACACCCTGTAAAAGCTATAATAATGAAATTTTGTATTTAGAGTTATGAGGTGTGATCAAATCGAAAATGCTATCCATTTCTTTCTTAAAAAAATGCCTAAATATGTTTTAATTTTTAAGGGTACTGTCTCATAAAAAAGAGAATTTTGGAAATCAGCCAACGCCATCCTAAATACGGAGGTGTGATTTTAAGTGAAACACACTGTATAGAGTGTCTCTGAAAATTTGGGATATCGCTGGACGTCGTATCTATATACAAGAGCCAACACCTACTGAGATATAGCCCACTGAATATGATATCATGAAACAACATTTTTTTAATACGACTCTAAAACCGTTTCATTAAGAAACTTCCTATTTGGTAGATTGCACGTCTTGGTTTATTCAATTGTAATATATTTCTTGAATTGGTAAGAAACAATTATAAAAGATACCTACTGCTATTTTTAGGTTCCTCGTTTCTTTCAGTATTTGACAATATTTTCTCTGATACGCCTATGACTATTTAATTTACATTTGAATACAACGTCGGTTTTTAAAGATTTTTTTATCTTTAGTGAAATTTTGATATCTGATATGGATTTCGAAAAAAACGGGAAATCCTCGCACTTAAATGCACCGGAATACAGGGTGTTCGGTTATTAATTTTGAAAGAACAATAAGAGACCCTTTCTCTCATAATTGAAATACTTTAATATCGAAAAGCGAGTAAAATTTTTTTGGAAAATAATTTTATTTTAAAAATATATATTAGATATCCATTGGCAAATGCGGGAAAATGCTATTAGGTAATTAATGGGGTAGAAGAGACCAAAGAAATAGCACACTGTATATTATTTAATATAAGAAAATTTATCCGAATCATTTTATTTTGATTTCAGGAGTCTGTCGAAACCTAATAATTATTTTAAACAAGAAGTTCCATAATACCTTTTAGTCATAGTTTGCTTCTCTTTCGAGACACTGATGTTGAAATTAAAAAAATATATCACATTTTCTGAAATATTTCTAAGGATGTTTAATGTATACAGTAAATAAATCGGTCTTAGTAAAAGCAAAAAATAAATCTATGAGTGAAATTATTGAGTACATTTTCAGTCAATGTTGGGCATTTTGATAATTTTACACATTTTAGATAATATTTGAACTAACACTGATAAATTCACTCATAAAAATTTAGTTGTACTCATATTAATAGAGAAAAATTTCACTGAATCAGGTGTGGACAGAAATTGATATACATATTATTAAGTGTATTGAGTGAAAATAAGTCCAATTTTTCTTACGGTGTAGACGGATATAACTTGGGCCACTGATTTATCTGCGTAGTACTACTATTTCTTCTTACCAATGAGATAGAAATCTCATCAGAGAAGAGGTGTATTACAGTTTGTTCAACGAACAAACAAACCTTTTAACACATTTTAATCAGAAACACCTTGTATATATGTATACTGAGAAATAGGTAATTATTATATAAATTGGGATAAAATCGCAAAATGTAGTGAATGAACAGATATTTAGGAAGAAAAAAAATAGCTTAGTTTTTGAAATTGTTTAGACAATACGAAGTTTTTAGATTTGAAGGTTTATTTAAAGAGTTTGAGGACAATACAAAGTGACTTTCTTAGGGTTGTTTTGCCCCTTTATTGGAATATGGAATCAGATTTTCAGTAGGACGTTTCGTCTTTCACCAGCCATGACCAAATCAATTTTTTATATATAACCCTATATATACAATTTTGTCCGGTAGTAGTATGTCTTACTATTTGAGCTGGAAAAGTTATCAGCTTTACTTTTCTTCAAAATGTTGATATTTACATTTTTTTACAATTTTGCATTCAGTGTTGAATTCAATGCAAGTTATAACCTCCTTAAGATTTATTTGTTAATGTGTAATTAATTTATTAAATTGTAAAATAATAGCAACGTAAATAAGGTAACCATTTTTTTACAAATTTTATTATTTTCTTTCTTTTTTAAATTTCAAAATTATATATTTTTATTATTACAGGTGCTGTGAACGCAGTATGTGCTGATGGGTTTCCTATGGTTCTTCGGAAGAAAGAAGAGACCCTCATCTTAACTGTCATAGCAGAATGGGGCTTTTTACTGGCCAAAGCTGTTGTCCAAGAAAGGGTCAAGAATTGTTCAATTGTTCGCCACTCTTTTTCAAAAAGCATTTTTTTGGTTTAAAAATAAAAATAAACTAAAAATGGATATTATTTTCTTATAAAACTGCATCTCAAAACGAACAAAAGAAAAAAAAATGATATTTTTAGTTTTTGCCTAGTTACAGATATTTGAATATTCTAATGATCATAACTTCTTGAGGGGTTGAAACAAAAATAATTTGAAAACATTCATGAAAGCTACTCTAAATATACCAAAAAAATCAGGAAAATTAAAAATGGTTGAGTCACGACCTCACTGATATGGCATGGAATGCCCCATATATAAAATTCGTATCATAAAGAAATATATGAAAATGATTTTAAATGTGTTAAACAGTAATAAGTTTAGTTCGATGAATATATAGCTCGGTCTCATTTGTTTATTATTGTTCCAATAAATAATAAAAGTTAAAGGAAAGTCCAATTTTTGTGTAATTATATGTACGCAAGAACATAGGTACACTGTAAAAAAAATTCACTCAATTTTACTCAATAATGTATCAATTTCTGTCCACACCCGATTTAGTGATACTCTATTGGTATGAGTATAACTGAGTGAAACATTGCATCAGAAATGAGTGAGTTTTACTCAAATCCGAGTTACTGCTGACTATCAATTGAGCGACTTTTGACTCTATTCTGAGTATATAAACCAATTTAGAGTTTATCTAATAAATAATTTCAAGAGTGTCAAGACCAATTTAAATCGTGATTAATGATTTTTATCATAAGCACGGTTGGCATTATGTCTTTAAATCAAAATGTCACTAGAATTTACTTACAAATTATTGAACTTGTTATCACCAATAAATTGCGTGTAGATACTACATACAGGGTGGGCCATTAGTGTGAGAAATTAAAATAACTCCCTTGTTACTCATAAAACAGAAAACAAATTTATGTAAATGTTATACAGAGTCAAGAAACCTAAACCACAAAATTAATTTGGTACATACAGGGTGATGAATAAAACCGGGACACGCCAAATATTACATTTTTTTAATGGAACACTCTGTATATTTTTAAACATATGGATTTTCGAGAAAATTTTATATATGGCAATATAAACAGTGCGGGGTTGCCAAGCTATGTAGAAAATTCTTCGAATTTTGGAATAACACTACTCGAAGAAGTTGTATTAACTTTCAGCTACTAACACTTGGAACAAAATAATTAGACAGTAATGGGCAAATGTTACACAAAAGCATTTATAGTAGCTAATACTGATATTTTATACAGGACATTTTTTATAATACGATCATTTTTAGAAAGTTTAATCTTGATTTTCTAGAATTTTTTAAATGGAACACCCTGTAGTTTATTGTTCTATTTTATTCACATATCGGTCCACTTCAACTTTTATTAAACATGTTAAAATTGTTAGTTTTTAAGATATAGCAATATTTCTGAAAAAAACTTAATTTTTATTATTTTGTAGAATACCACAAATAAATATTAACTAATAAAATTAACTCAAAATGGAATGATAAATTACGAACTGACAAGTTGACACAATGTGACAGTTTTTTCCAAAGCCATTTCGTGCAACGAAAATAATAAAATTTTGTTTTTTCTAGGAATGTTGCTATATCTTAAAAACTAACAACTTTAGGTGTAGAACATACTTAATAAAAGTTGAAGTGGACTGATATGTGAATAAAATAGAACAATTAAATACGGGGTGTTTCATTTGAAAAATTTTAAAAAATCAAGTTTGAACTTCCTTAAAATTATCGTATTATAAAAAATGCCCTGTGTAAAATATCGATATTAGCTAAAATAGGAGTCTTTGCCTAACATTTGCCTATAACTCTGTCAAATACAACTTCTTCAAGGTCATGTTTTCTCCAAAATTCGAAGAATTTTTTACATAACTTGGCAACCCCGCACTAAAATGTTAAACTGTTTATATTGCCACATATAGAATTTTCTCAGAAATATATATACATATATATTAAAAATATACATGGTGTTCCATTTAAAAAATGTTATATTTAGCGTGTCCCATTTTTAATCATCACCCTGTGTGTTTTAAATTAATTTTGTCCTTTAGGTTTTTTGATTCTGTACAAATTGTATATAAACTTTTTTCTGTATTATGAATAACAAGGGAGTTATTTTATTTTCTCACACTAATGACCCACGCTCCACGCTATTTTTTCCAATGCTGTGGTGTCAAATTTAGTAGGTACCTGCATAATTTTTTATATTACTTTGTTTCCTTAACTAATTTATCGATGACTAGAATTGGCAGGCTTCTTATCTTAAATCTTAAAAAAAACAGGCCTCAGCGTCATTGAGACCGATATTTGTCAATATTTATTTACCGTAACTTGTCAACCGAGTTAACAACACACGTCGGCGCCTAAAAGACATCCTCGACCTGAACAAAACTTTCCCAGTTTGCCGAGAAAACAAACCGCTATTGAGACGGAGCAGTTTACCACGCGTATCGTTTTCAAAAAGCTCGACGCCCAGAGGCGTTGACACTCCCTCGATAACAACTTAATTAGGGACTCCCTTTCCGAAATCGCTGCGACATTCATCACGGCTAGTGTTTGGACAAGCCGAACACGGTGAGCGAGAGATAAGGGCTGAGACAGCTTCAGTCTGGGTTTAGTCCTGGAGATGAAGTAAAAAGTTTAATTACGGCCAATTTATATACTGTAATGAAACCCGTAAAATTATTTTTTAAGTCATTCACGTTTGTTCTTCTTATAGTCTGTTTAGAAATGAAAGAGAGTAATAAAAGCTTATTATGTATGCAAATCGTAAATAAATGTAGTACTGGTGCTTATTGTATTCAATATTTTTATATTATGTATTTTCCGTATAGATGAGGTGTACTTTTAAAAAAACTTTGTGTGATCGGACTGTACTAAATTGTAGCAGGTAGCTAAAATTTAATCCCCGACCATCCGTCTTTGTCTATGCCGCTTCAATTTCTCGGTCCATTTCTCTTATAAGTAAACAATATAAAAACAGCATTTCAAAACATGGGGCTACTTTGAGCATCATAACCGGGTTAAGAGGGTTTTTAGTAATTCAAATAAAATTATTCAATATTATTATAAAAATATTTATTTAAATTTAATGAATAGACTTTTATTCCACACAAAAATATATGTATTTTGAAAATTCAAATTATGGTGAGTAAATGTAGTGTTGTATAAATGTACAATAAAGAAAATAAAAAAGTAGGTATATTAAAATTCATCCTCTGAATATTCTGATGAATTATCTTCGTCTCCTAGATTGATAACGATAGGTTCCACAGTAACGTCAATTAAATTATCGAGTTCCCACATTTTCTCCTCTTCTTTTTGTACATGATGTATACATCTTTGCCAGTTATCTGCAGTTACTCGTTCCAAGGAATTTTTTAACAAAATTTTCACGTCACTTAATTTAAACGTCGTATTATTTCGCGCTACATCTCCTTTTACCTGCGCCCAGACTAATTCGATTGGGTTAAGTTCACAGTGATAAGGTGGTAACCGTAGTACCGTTATTTGGCGATTTGTTGCCATTTCATCGATAACATATTTTTTCTGATCTTTATTAAGATTGACAAGTGTCAAAAGTTCCTTTTTCACCATATTTGTTTCAAAAGAAATGTTTTTTCCGGATAACCATTGAATTATATCGGCTTTCCTCCAAGCAGTCGTAGGCGTCCGCTCGGTCTGCCGTGAATGGTAACTGGCATTATCCATGACAATTACAGACCCCGGAGGAATAAGATCCAACATCTGTGTAAAATACTCTTCGAAAACATCTGCGTTCATGTCTTCGTGATAGTCACCTGTATTTTTAGATTCAAATAAAAGTAAACCGCCATCTACAAAACCACTGGCACTACCTATATGTGTCACTATTAATCTTCGCCCTTTACCTGAAGGTGCCTTGAACCCTGTTGAAAGTCCATCCAAAAATGCTTGTCGAAAACTTTTTACATTTTTATCTTGCCATACTTTTGTTACAGTATATCCCTCGTTGACCCAAGTTTCGTCTAGATAATAAATATTCCTCCCTTCGTCACGGAATTTTCTAATTGATCTTAAGTAGGATCTTCGCCAACAAATAATTTCATCTTTATCGATAAGAACTGACTTCCTGTTCTGCTTTTCCCAGCAAAAATTCAACTCTCGTAAGACGGCCCATAATTTGCTTCTACTGATTTTTGGCAAATCGTTGTCCTCTGAAAGTTCACTTAAAATTTTGTTTAGCGTTGGTATTTCTTTTTTAAAATAAAATGAGTGTACTTTTCTGCGAATGACATTTTTGAAGAAATCATCTATAACGACTTTTGACCTCCCTGTAGATGATTTTGGGGGATTTACAGTATCTTGTTCATTTTTTGTTTCCTTTAAAAGTCTGTAGATAGTCGATTTTCCAATTCCTGTCATTTTTGTTAGCATTAGTGTTACCCGATAATTACCTGAAACGAAATATTACCACGCCCATGGCCGGTTCTTATCTCGGAGTTTTATTACTCTCTTTCATTTCCAAACAGACTATAGCATCAAGTGGCATATACAGGGTGTATCAACATTCCGTGCACACCGAGCTACCAGCTTGCTGCGAGCAAAATAAGCAGATATAACTGCTTACTTTGCCCTTTCCCAGGTTGCTCCATTTAGCCTTTCGAGAGTATCAAAGTTAACAGAACATTTTTTAAATAATTTTGAAACGTCTTCTAAGAATTTATTGAAATTCTGTACACTAACACTTTAAGAAATATTTCACTTTATGACAGTGAACGAAATAATTGAATTAACAGGACAGGACTATGACATTCTATAGCTTCATTTTTTGTCCTAAAGAAGATCTAATTTTCTCTCTTGTGAAATTATTGTATTTGTAATAGCTTTGGATTAACTATTTTTTTAAATTAGATCTTATTGAAATTCGGTGCACTAATACAACTAGAAAGATGTCACTTTATGGCACAGTAAACAATGTAATTGAATTAAGACTTGAAATTGTGTTGTATTTGTAACAGCTT